TCTATTCTGTGTATGAATGTCTGTAATTTATTTGTAATTGCCTTAGTTGTTCTTCGTGTTTCCGCCCCATACAAAAGTACTGATCTGACATAAGAATTAAAAATTTTAAGTTTAATATTTTTTTAAATATTTTTGTGTGTGAACCCTACAAATTCCCAAGTGTTATGAAAGCTCCTCTTGTCGTTTGTAATATTTTGTATTTTTTAAAATATCTCAATCAATTCCTCCATCTTTATCTACATTACTGCCAAAATAGGTGTGCAACTCCACGTCTTGGAGTGGGGTGCCATTAAGAGAAAACCATATTACTACTTGCCTGATTTATTCTCATCTTTGTCTTTCCTTTATGGATTTTCAGACCTAGCTGCTGTGATCTCGCATCTAGTATATTTAATTTATCTTGCATCTGATTCCGTGAATGGGACAGAAGAGAAATATCATCAGCGAAATCCAGATCCTCAAGCTGTTTTGTCGGAGTCCACTGAATTCCATTCTTGGTGTTAGCAGTTACTGTTTTCATAATCCAGTCTATAGCCAGTAAAAATAAGAGAGGCGACAAAAGACATCCCTGTCTCACACCTGTTTTTATTTCAAATGTATCGCTTAGCTTTTAACCATGAAGAACTCGACATTTCATGTCTTTATATGTTGCCTTTACTAAGTTTATAATTTTTTGTGGGATTCTATAGTGCCTTATCAATTTCGAGAGAGATTCTCTATCAATGCTTTCAAATGCTCTAGTCTATAAATCCAATGTAAAGTGGTGAGATCAGTTCAATGCTTAGTTCTATTATAATACGTAATGTGGCTATCTGGTCAGTACAGGATCTACACGACCAATTAGGCACCCTAAAAAGGTGTTTTCATTGGCATGTCTATCGTACAGCTTAATATCCACGACTATGGAATGCAGACAGAGTTAATCTCCAAACATTAAATGACACCAAAGGTTACAGAAAGTTACAATACAAAAGGTTATTAGTGATAAAATGAGTAAAACACTAACAACAGTATCCCTAAATTAAGGAGTGAAAAAAAAAAAATTGTCTTCTCACTGCTTTCCCCACGCAATAAACAAACAATGATGTGTTGGACGGCTCTCACAGAAGGAAGTACTAGTTTTTTAATCACATCCCACTTCCCACAAGAGTTTGCAAAAAAAAAGTGTATCGTCAAAAAGTTCGGAGTGGGAGTCGACCAATCCCTAATTTGTTCGCGTCCAGGGATTCGAATTTACAGGAGTCCAGCAATGGCTCACGCAGAATAATGGACAGTTAATTATGACGTCACTTTCCCTTCAGGGGGGAATGGTTTCCATACAAAACGGAAGGACGAGCCAGTAGTCGGTAGAAGCAACAATGGCAAAGTTTGTCCGCAGCTACTTGAGAATGCTTTCTGTAAGGTTGTAGCCACTGGGAGGCAAGCATGCGGGAATTATAACAGTCTGAATTTTTAAGCTGCAGCCCAACACGGTTATCAGGTTTCATAGAAGACAGACAGAAGACAATCATTTGGTCTTTTGATGGGTCAGAATGGAAGGTAAGATTTGTTTGCAAGTTTTGGGAAGTTGCCGTGTTATTATGACGGCAATTTTAATAGTTCGTCGTCATCACCATTTCTTCTTCTTCTTCTTCTTCTTCTTCTTCTTCTTCTTCTTCTTGTTCTTCTTAGTAGGGCTGTACTGAATAGGGATTTTCACTATTCGGCCGAATACGAATAGTGGGACCAGCTATTCGGCCGAATACGAATACGAATAGTGTATCATCATCATCATCAGGTGCCTTGCCGACTGGCGTGAGCCTTGCCAGAATTTCCGATCTCCTGCAGCAAGTATTAGTTCATGTGCTGGCACACCTTCATGCCATGCAACAAGACTGTCATGAATATTCTCTCGTTGTCTTACCCTATCACTCCTTCCAAGATCTTTCCAGTGGTCACCACATGTTCCATTTTCCCTCTTTTCATAACATGGCTATAATAATAATGACTGTCTCCTTCTGGGATTAGTTTTTTTCATTCTTCCGCCTTTTTCAAAACCTCCTGCAACTATTGTGTTAATGAGATAGTTTTTTCAGTCTATCGCAAGTATTCGGCCGAATACCGAATAGTTATTAGGTCGACTATTCGGCTCCGAAGCGAATACGAAGCGAACATTCAGCACAGCCCTAATTTAAAGACAAAAGAAATTGTTCAAAATTTCGGTAATTTAATGACCCTTAAAACCTAGTGTAAAGCGAATTAAATGGTATGATAGAATTACCAATTTTGAGCAGCTGGAGAAAGCTTAACAAACTTCAGTGAATCAAGAGGTGAAAAAAAAAAGACACTTGCGTGGCATAGAAATAACGACAGCAACAAACACAAACGCGGAGAAAGAGGCTACAGAATGACATTAAAAAATATATGGAGGATGAGAAGAAATAAAAAAGAAAGAGAAAGAGGAAGCAGAAGAGGAAAGTCAGACCAAGATACACCGGAAAGGCTAACCCGGTCAACAAATGCCCGCAGAAGTCGGATGTGTTGGCCGAAAGGTGCAAATATCGCAGCCATACTGTAAACGGACACAACACAATTACATCTTCGGATGAACGCAGAAGAAGAAAAAGAAGAATACCAAGATACATCATGATACAAAATGAAAGTGGCTTGAACAGCCTTATACATACACATATGAAGTCGATTGCAAGTGACCGATCCGACGTGGAGTGGACTGATCAGACAAGCAACGGCAGTCTGTGACCATACTACACATGTTTATGATGATGACCAGAAAGTCAGCGAGCAAGAGATTTAGCTTCTGCAGTTTCTTCATAGTCTAAAGATAAAGAGTCAAATGAAATATCGTGGCCCCAATAAAACATATAGGTTAGTTGCCTATCCTTTTACAGAAAGTTGCAGAACCAACCCCAAAAGCCCAAGGCTGTTGTGTGGTTTTCTAGGTAAATTTATGTCCAGTAGTTTGCCATTGCTTCTGGACGGTCGGCTTTCTTGATACCACTGTCGAAACCAACGCAAGGCGCATGGCTAGCAGCTGGGATCGAACCCGGCATCCCGGCATTACGAAGCGTTCGCATCGACTTAGCCACAGAGCCGACAAAACACATAGACACATTTCATACAAAGCATATTCATTCCAACCGTATGTTACCAATGCCAGTTATGGTCAATCACAACAAACCAGAATGAAAAATTAATAACCAGGGAAATGAAAAGTTTGAGAAGGGCTGCAGCTCTGACCAGAAGAGAAGAGGAATGACGTAATTATGGAAACAGTCAGCACAGAACACTTCTCCATTTCAAGCAAAGTCAGCAAATCAAATCGTTTGCCCACTTAGAATGTCTTGTGACGCAATACCATACGAGACAAACACTGAATGAAGGACGTTGAGCCCAAGGTAGACCAATAACACGATGGAAAGAAACACAAGAGAATCACTACAACAGCACGGTGAGTCTATGGTTGCAGCTGTCAGAAGAGTAACAGGAAGTTAGCTGTGTGTTCTTTAAGGACATAGCAGAACCAACTTCAGCATTTTTTGCGGCTCTTGGTAACTTCACTAGGCAATGCTACCTTCCTCGAAACTAGTTCGTAACTCCTAGTCCTGCATAACTACTATAGCTGATTTTTGATTCAATTATTCGCCTCAATTAATTCATATATTACTGTAGTATGTGCCGGATGAAGTAAAGCGAAATATGCGAGGCAATACATTTTGCAGTTTATTGTTTGTGTCTTCTGTGTTCCGGTTTACAATTGACAACAAAGAAATATTGCACTGACTACCTGCAGAGTCTGTGGTTTAGGCCTTGCGAACGCGCTTTGTAATGCCGGGATGCCGGGTTCGATCCCAGCTGCGGACATTGCGCCTTGCGTTAGTTTCGACAGTGGTATCGAGACCCGACCGTGCAGGAAGCAATGGCAAACTACTGGACGTAAACTTGCCTAGAAAAACCGCAACACCAAAAACAATGCTGAGGTTAGTTCTGCAACGTCCTGTATAGGATACGCAACTAACTGCAACCTGTGTGACTCCAGGTTCTATTTTGGAAACGAAAAATATAATCCTCCTACTGCCCCAAACCCTCCCCCAAGCATGATGAAGTGCATTTGTCGAGACCAGAGAAACCAACAGTCTGCATACATTAAGTAACTGCAAAATGGAATTGCACGCAACATTTAATTTCTGCAACAAGATCAAAGTCCCTAAGTAGACTAACAACTAGGACTTTCTGTGGTTGAACGCCAAGAATAAGGGGATTGCATTGACTTTGACAATTGTTTGACAACCGCAGGTGTAATTTTGCAGCATTGAACACTTTGTTGGTGGATCTTGTAGGTTGTATTTCGACCACAAGGATGACCAGCATGACGAAGGCATGGCTTGGTTTCGCTGCTGCCTGTGTTCTTGTGGATGTGCTGTTATCTCAAGGAATGACAGATGTCGAGAATCAGTTCATTCGCGACACCACAAACAGGTTGGTTGATTGAATTATTTGCATGGTTGGATGTTGACATGGCTAGCTGTCTGATACAAGGTTGGGTGTCTGCAAGGTTGGATGTTGACATTTCTAGCTGTTCGTCTGATACAAGGTTGAGTGTCTGCATGGTTGGATGTTAACATGGCTAGCTGTTTGTCTGATACAAGGTTAGGTGTCTGCATGGTTGGATGTTGACATGGCTAGCTGTCTGTCTGATACAAGTTTGGGTGTCTGCAAGGTGAATGTTTTGCATGGTTGGATGTTGACATGGCTAGCTGTCTGTCTGATACAAGTTTGGGTGTCTGCAATGTGAATGTTTTGCATGGTTGGATGTGACATGGCTAGCTATTTGTTTGATACAAGATTGTCTGTCTGCAAGCTTGGAGGTCGACATGGCTAGCTGTCTGTTTGACACAAGGTTGGGTGTCTGCAGGGTGAATGTTTTGCATCATTGAATCAGTTCATTCGCGACACCACAAACAGGTTGGTTGATTGAATGTTTTGCATGGTTGGATGTTGACATGGCTAGCTGTCTGATACAAGGTTGGGTGTCTGCAAGGTTGGATGTTGACATTTCTAGCTGTTTGTCTGATACAAGGTTAAGTGTCTGCATGGTTGGATGTTGACATGGCTAGCTGTTTGTCTGATACAAGGTTGGGTGTCTGCAAGGTTGGATGTTGACATGGCTAGCTGTTTGTCTGATACAAGGTTGGGTGTCTGCATGGTTGGATGTTGACATAGCTAGCTATTTGTATGATACAAGGTTGGGTGTCTGCATGGTTGGATGTTGACATGGCTAGCTGTTTGTATGATACAAAGTTTAGTGTCTGCATGGTGAATGTTTACATGTTTGTATGATTGATTGTTTACATGGTTTGATGTTTTCATGGGAGGATGTTCACATGGTTGTGTGATTAGTTTGATGGCTGCATGGTTTGTCGACGCGGACACTAGGAAAAACCTTGAGTGTCTCTCTGTGTGTGTGTGTGTGTGTGTGTGTGTGTGTGTGTGTGTGTGTGTGTGTGAGGGGGGGGGGAACACCCGCCCCCTTTTTTTTGAGAATACCTATAATCGTAATATTAATTAAACACTTGCTGAATTGCAATTAATTGTAATGATATATGTAAAAACTAAAATTAATTGTAAAACAAATTACTTTTTAAATAATTTTTTAAGATAATTTCAATACGTGTTCTTCTTCTTCCGCTTAACGTTCATCTAATGTTGACTCGGGGGGAAAGTTCTGGATATTAATCTATTTATGGAATTTGATGACCCTGTTAAAGCACTTGACACATCCGTTTTGTATATTTTGTTTATTAGGCAGCATTGGGTCTACCCCCCCCCCCCCCCCCCCCCCCCCCCCACCAATGGAGTCCCGAGACCAACACAGAGACTTCAATGTATGGAAAACCGGACCCACGCTTAGCCTTATACGAAATAGTTGTTTGGCGAAGGGGATGGTGCCCAAGGTGCCCATGGTTGTATTGCTGGCTTGTCTGGTTTGGTGTAGGATTAGCTTGTTGATGAGATATTTTTGACTGATTTGTTTTTGACTTGTGGTTCACTGGCTGACTAGTTACTAGGTTTAAACACAGGCAAACATTTCCGCCACTCTTTATCCACAACACATTATTACCCCCCCCCCCCCCCCCACCCACCCCGAAAACAAAAATAAATATCTACTGCAGAACGAAAATAAAACGATTCTACGCACCGTTTTGGTTTGTCACCCATTCTGACAAAGACTATCATAGAAACAGTGCTAACAGACGATGGTTTAAGAGAAGGTGTGAGGATAAAATCGAAGTGAAACGTAGAAGTATTTTTTTCACAAGTTTTTATGCACAACCATTGTCCAGGTTATTGGTTGGGGAGTGGGGGGAATAGGGGGGGGGGAACTGTGTTAGATAAACCTGCGTTGACTGGGGGGGGGGGGGGGAGAGAGACTGTGTTAGAAAAACCTGCGTTGACTGGGGGTGGGGGGGGGGGGAGGGACTGTGTTAGAAAAACCTGCTTTGATCTGGGGGGGGGGGGGGGACGCAGCTGTAGGTTATCAATTTTGCTGATGATTTTGTTCTGCTAACACAACAACACCAGATCCTGCAGAATTAACACTAGAGACAAAAAGAATTAACGCAACAGACGTAATTATTTTTTAAGTAGTCATTTTGATTATCAAGCGAAAAATTACGACCGGCATTGGCAAGGTATCCCGCAGCTGAAAAAGCTTTAACAAAATATCGAAAATCAAATTGGGTAGTTTTAAAACCAAGTTATATATTTTCATTTCTAATTTTATTTCAGTTTTAACATATGCCAGTTATTATTCGGGAGCCACTACCGATACGAAACGAAAGTTAAATGGGAGTCAAAAACAAATGCAAGAGGAAAATATAGAAAATAAAATGGAGTGAAAACAAGGAAAAATGTGTAGCAACAGGTTTTGAGTTTTTGAACAATTGATCAACATCACGGCACACGAGTGTAACCTATAAGTGCTCCTTTCTTCTCCTAACTCAAGGCTGAGTCCGAAGAATTTCAGCACAGCCCACAGGCTTTGTAGCACCGGCGAAGATCCTGGCATACTTTAGGTAGATTTGTAACTTCAAATTTTGCCCATGCAGTGTCGTTAGGCTTTTCTTTGATTTCCAACTGCCAAGGGATTTTTTAGGTGCTCAACGATGCACACGGGCGTCCGATCTCACTACCAAGAAACCAGAGCGAATTATAGAAGTCCAAGTCCACGTAAAAAAAATCTCAGTCCTTAACGGGGATTGAATCCGGAACCTCTAGCACTCGAGGCGGACACCATGACTCAATACCACGCAGCTCCCTAGTTAGAAACAGTTGTAAAAGAAAGGAGATGACGCCATACTTGGCTCATCCTGAGACAGAAAGAGCAGAGCGTCACCAGACTGGCACTCAGTCATGAAATAAGGCGACTGAGGAAATGAGGGTGTTCAACGAAACAATGAAGCCTTAAAATGAACATTGATATGAAAGCCAGATGGGCTGGACTGAAGCTCATCCTTGTTATCAAAGGAATTGCACTAGATGGATCGAAATGAATGAATAGAATGCGATCTCTACATGACATAACATGACACTCTCTCAATCTCTCTCTCTCTCTCTCTCTCTCTCTCTCTCTCTCTCTCTCTCTCTCTCTCTCTTGTTGTACCCCACCAGGACATCACACAAGCGATAAACACCCGATGACACAAAATGCCACCATGCGGATGAGGATCACCCTTGGAGAGGTCTTAGAGAGCCTTTCAGGCCATATTTGAAGCTCGGCTATATTCAGGGTCCCCGGCAAAAGCCAGGGTGGGGCTTCAAAGAACGAAAAATTGCACCTCACATAGGGGTGACTACTACAGCAAGAAGGGCATGTTAATATTTATAAGTCCACATGCTTGGGACTCGAATCAATAATCACCGAGCTAGCAGGCGAGCGAGTTAACTACCACGACTGCTAAGGATATCTATACCGGTTAAACAGAGGACGGCCAACTCAACGGGGGAGTTAATTTCATTGTCCCTTATAATGCGAGTTTTGGGCTGAATGAAGTAGGTTGCGTCCCCTGCGGCTGGTGCCATGTGGAATTCAGTCCAGCTAGCAATTCCAACTTAAAACGCAGATGTCTCTCTTAATTCTATCTTGAATACGCCCAGTTAGCCATGTTGCACTGTTAGTGTCTGTCGATACATTGAAAGGAAAGTACTCGTTCATATGGTTCATATGTTTGTGAATAGAAAGAAAGTACGAACGATCTTCAGTTTGAAAAGGATGAGAAATTATCTTTGAGGTCCATTTAGAGTACAAAGGCTTTTTGGAGGGAATGAATGAGGAGACTGGCTTGCTGGCAGGTCTGTAATAGGTTCAGGAAAAACTAAACCATTGTGATGTTCTTAGTTCTCTAAGGAAGGCAGGACGAGAAGATGATTCAGTAGACGATGGTTAATTGGACACTGGTGCTATCAATTGTTGCACACTGAGGTAGATACTGAAGATGGGGTCAGAGCACTTATGGACTTGTGTGATATGCGATGAGGATGATCGGTCGATTTACTAACCAGCCAGCCAACCAACCAAACACCCAACCAATCAACCAACCAACCAACCAACCAAATAGCCAACTAATGAACTAATTAACTATAATCCTATTTCAGCAAAAACTTAAGTAACGTTTTACTGCATGCTTGTAGAGGGGTAGTGGATTTATTATTTTCCCCTGAAAATGAGAAGCCAAGAACCTACACGTAGACCTTCACGTAACATTAGACCTTCACCATTGTACTCATTCTTCGCTAAGTCAACCTGGTAGCAACAGCCAGTTACAAGAATCCTACTTGCTATGGATTCACATGAAAGACCTTCGCGTCGGCAAACCAATGTGAAGCATTTGCGCCACCGAGGCTGTACATCTGTGAAAACATTGCATTGAACATAGAGCCGATGAGAGTGATACAATTAACTGATAAAAAAGAAGTGAATGTCAGAAGATAAATGAAAAAATATGTCAAAACTGCCAAGTCGTGGTTTTGTAAAATAATTATGAAAACATTTGAATGTTAGAGAAAGAAAAGGATTCTTATGAATAAAGCAACACTGAATGGTAGAGAATAAAGAAAAGACAAAGAAAGAAAATCTGTTGTTCCTTTCACTTCCATTCTCATGTTGGTTATTGTGTCGTATATTAAATTTGTTTACACATGCTTGCTAGCACCTGCTGTGTTGTGCCTACTTCCTATATAATACCGTATTGAAATGATGAAGTGACATTTTACTCCTTAGGCTACATAAACCCCTACTCCCCAAGCATACACTGGTATTTTCTAACAAAAATTAAACTTTAAAAAAGAAGTGATTTTCAGCGCAGCCATCTATGACAGGCACACTGGACGTATAGTAAGTCTGCTTAAAAAAGCACAGGATTGGCACTATCATCGGGGTGCTGATTTACAATTTGAAGCAAACTCTGAGTACATGTTATCGTGTTCTATGTACCCCCAAGATAACCTAACCAAGCTCATAATTCATAGATTCATTTATGTTTTCATTTTTGTTTTGTCCGTTTGTGTCGTATACTGGTGAAGAAAATCTAATCACCATGTAAATTTTGTCACTTGTGACACAAAAACACAAGGTTTTATGAAGTTCACTTATTCTACTTCTCGAATGGATTGTTTTTCTAAATACTGAAATAAGGTTGTATTTCACAGGTTTTCACAGTTATCCAGACCAGACATGTTAACAGCCTGGCACACGGAGTGTCATAGGCGATGTCGGTATCAACTCACCTGGACAATTAACCTCTCCTGTCAGTTTGATCCTTACAGGTAAAAAAAAATAAAGCTAAACAAAAAAATACAGATACTTACGGTAATTATCTGACTTATATGATGGACCGATTCCATTTGTTGTCGTATTGAATTACCATTTATATTTCACGTTTATCCCTAACAACTGTTTGTGGTTATTTGTATTGTCTTTTCCCCCGCTTGCTAGTGGGTTTCAGACAACAAGAAGCGCACATGACTCAATAAGCTGTCATAGGGACAGAAACATCCGGATACTGATTTATCTCTCAAGTTGAGACACAGTTTGATGATTATTATAACTCAAAATATGCAAGATTACTTTTCCTCAACTATGGCTAAGTCGAATATTGATTGGAACAATCAAAACTGGCTATTCTCAGGGGTGGTGGGAGGTACGTCCTCGTTTGATGCATACAGCTTGATTTCCACTAGAAGGCTCACTTCGCCGACCTGGGATTTCCCTACTACATGCAGAGAGCTTGTCTTCAGTGCATGTTCAGAATTCTGGCGTGCCTTTCCAAATGAGCTAAGTTATGTGTCCCCAATCTCTGCTCCACCTCCCTTGTTTTGGGCCAGAACACTAGGGGGTAAAAAGGAATACACGAACTATTTGGTTTGCTGGCAGAGCCACAAAAGGCACCAGAAAACCAGTATACCGGGTCGATGTTCTCTATGTTCTCAATGAGGCAGGGCGAGTAGATAATTCAGCAAAAGATGGTGCATCGACAGATTTGAAAAGACTACCAAATCTTCATGTCAAAAGATGGTGCATCGACAGATTTGAAAAGACTACAAAATCTTCATGTCAAAAGATGTGTCTTCCAGACATGGAAATTATACAGGTAGCCATTAAGAAAAGGTTATTCTGAGTCTGCACACACTGAGGGAGATACTGAAGATGGGACCCGGGTGTTTATCGGACATCGATGTACAATGAGGATGATCGGTCAGTCAATCAACTAATCGTGAATTTCCTGTACATACGGGGACATGTTATGAAAAGAAGCAGACCCACCGACTTGAAGGGAATCATGAAATGGAGCAGACCCAACGAAATGAAGAGACATGGCACAATTGATAGAGAAAACACAAAGAGAAGATCAAGAAGTAAAAGCCTGTATGTCGTTTCCATATGGATGGTGCATGACAAGAGCCTGATTTTCCTGATCATGTGGGAGTGAAGAGCCATCACCACCTACTTTTTAGAAAAAATGATTACAGGTTTTGTAGTTTGAGATTTGTATGTATAGTGTCTGAATTGTCACAAACACACACACACAAATTCACCCAACCATCATTCCAATCATTCACCCAAAGCACCAATGAATCAAGCATCCAAACTGCCACCCCTCCAATTAACTAACTGGAAAGTTTTCGTCAGAGGTTAGTCAAGAACCCAGCATCACTGCAGACTGGTGACAATGTAACTGCTTCGCTTCTATACCGGAGGAAATCTTTAAAATGTCCCATTTGAAAACTGAGAAACTTCTAACCCAGCAAAAGCTTGAAGCTTGCACGTGCAATTTGAAAGGACACGAGGCAGCTGTCCGATGTGCCAACACTAACTGTTCCACACCAGAATTGCAGTTCATTGTTGGTGCAAACTACCAATCACAAAAGCTGCCATTACACATAATACATTGTCACAGCTACTCATGTTTAAGAGATAACATTGACCACTTATTTACCGACAAACTGCATTTCTGGTGGCAACTGTTGGGTTTGGCGCCTCTAGCAACTAAAAAGTGCATTTACTGCGTACGCATACTTCTGTTTTGTTCCGGGATTACTTGTTTGTTTACCAGTTTTTCAAATGCGACTGGGAGGAAAATTTCATTTGATTTGCACATGGAACAGAGTAAAATATGGGGAAACCTGACTCCAGTGAAGTTCAAACCTCGACCAAGACTATGACTAAGACGTTTTCTGTGAACATCTTCTATTCAGAATTCCGTACAGAAAACGGCGTGCAATAGATAGACCTAGTAACAAAAACATCATTCAAGATGTGGAATCAACTGAGATGAGGCCATGGAACAAAACAACTGACTTACATCCAACATTTCCAAGTGAGTAGATTTATGGTCATTTCAAACTGTTTGTCTAAATTCGACTCTAACTTTACAGTCGTCACAACGTTGTTCTGTTTTCCATTCTCTTGACGTGCCCAGACAAGAGGCATGTCTTCTTCTAAGGCGGTAATCAGAACCTTTGGAAGCCAGGAGATTGTAGCAGCTAGACGCTAGCTCGCGTATCTGAAGGTCGTAAGGTCATGAATTGACTGAGGCAGACATTTTTCAGTAATGACATTGGCTCCCAGGTCAACCCGTCTCACATGGGTGCCAGGTTAAGTCATAGGAAGTAACGGCTGCCGGTGTTTTGTTGACCACATCACCCACCAGTTTAAAAGCAAAGGTCCAGTCCTAAACGTCCAACAGGGCTGAGTGAAATGCTTTGAGCATTGTATCCTTCTGCCTTATAGCTGTGTGTGTTTTTTTTTTATTGTTTAAAACTGTATTTTAGATGTAATGAGAATTTATACGGAAACTGCAATGATAGGAAATGTTAGACAATGTTAATTCCTTGTACACATCGGGAGAGCTAGAAAAGTGAAGAACGTCATAACAGGTCACTTACAGAAAATAAGAGGTGGAGAGAGACAAGAAAAAGATAAACATAAACACGTATAGGTTCATTTTTAAATAGATCAAAAAGACTTTGATGGACTATCAAGCTGACCGCCTTTACTTCCCATGACTTTACCTAATAAATATTTACATATGAGCCCATTTAGGCCCTGAGATCATTTATTAAAAAAGAAAAATCCGGCGCTATGCGGATATTAATCCATGCTCTCTAGGTCCACAGACGATCGTCTAGCCGCTGCACCACGGCTGCTCCCACAACATAAAGTTTGCTGTTGTAACCTTCGGTCGTTCCTGTGGCCTCCTCCAATGTACCCTCTTTTTCGTTGAGCTTCTTAATCGGAGTTCAGTTGATTAATGTCATGAATATGCACGTCTGAATTTCGTTTGCTATTTCCATTTCGCTATAAGGCATGGGGTTCTTCTCTCCACGCTCAAGTCTTGTTGAGCTATCCGGATAAAAACCTTTGTCTTTACCTTGATCATTTCGTATTTCACCTCCTCAGGTGTTTTCGAGTTTAAGTTCATTTATTCTCATTGTCTTTTATTAAATCCAAACTACTTATTTTAGTAAATTTAGGACTTCTGTCTGAATCTTAGGCAGACACCGTCATTTCCTTTGTGTTGTTATTTTATTACACTAATGTCAGATTTTCAGTGTGTGTCTTCGCAGGTCCGAGCTGCTTGTTTCTGACCGCTGATTCATCTAACTCTCAGCTCCCTGATTCCCTCCTCCTTTCCCCTCCAAATAAAGCTATACATTAGTTATTCTGTCATAGTGTTCAAACTCATCAGTTCTGTACAAGCATTTATCTCAGCAAATGCTTTTAGTTTGTTAGTAACGTATTTAACAGCACCAAAAATTGCTACCGCGGCGTCCGTGGCTAAGGCGTTGCGAGTCCGACTCGTAAGCCAGCATACCGCGATCGAAACCCACTGCAGGCTGCGTGGATTTTTGTCGTGGTATGGGACGTCGCAGGTCGACCCAGCCTCAAATGGGTACCAGGATGGGCTGTCCTGGGAAAGTAAAGACAGCCGGCGTAATGCTGACCACATTACCCACAGAGTGCTGATGGTCTGTAAAAATATGGGACGCTCTACCCGTATGCCCGATGCGCCAAAAGGCGTGAAAAGGGAACTTTACTTTTTTTTAATTTAAATTGGTACCGGGTAATATACCTTTCAGTCAACGCAGCCTGTTTGATATCTTCCATTTTCCACTCCCCCCCTCCTCCCCACCCCCTCAACCCCGAGTGCTGACTGATCTCAGAAAAATATGTCTGGCATCATGTATACGATGCGTCACTAATGTAAGAGTCAGTTTGTTTTTGTTTTTCATTTTTGTTTCTACTGCTGCTACTCCATACAGTTGTAGTTATGTCACGTTACAGTCAAATATTCTTTACTATGTAGTGTATTTAATTGTCTTTGACTTCAATGGAAATGTTAATGCAGTGCAAGCTCCTCTTGACTTTTGTATCCACATGTTTATATCTCTGTCTTTTCCTCCATCTTTTTCTACAGGGTTGCCTAAAAAGGATGTGTCACTCTACATCTTCTAATGGAATCCGACCTGCGCAGATGCTATTATTATTTTACTAATTTATTTCCATTATCTCTTTCTTCTTGTTCTTTGCGTTTACTGACTCTAAACTCCCTCGCAAATTTTTAGTGGTTCGATCACTTCTGAAGTCTAGTTCTTCTTCTTCGCGTTCAACGGCGAAAAGTTGTGGCTGTTCATCCACCTCTGGACGTCAGTCTTATTCCAGAACCTGAGTGTTGCGTGCTCACCCGTTTTGCAGATCTGACATATTTGCATGCAGATTGTTAGTTTCTTGCCTGTCAGTCAAATGTACTTTGACTTTAAAGGAAAACCCCATTTAATCAACTCTTACGACATACTTGTTGGGGAAGGCAGTAGGAAATATTCTTGTTTTTCCAACAATCGGGCCCCAGAACCCTCGCAGGGAAGTCTTCTAGAACCTGAGCAGGTGTACACATCCATTTGACAGAGCTGGCGTTATTTATATGTAGACGGTCGCTCCCTTGCCTTTCAGACAGATGCACTTTGACTTCGAAAGAAACATACCTAATTGGTCAACTCTTACGACATGCTTGCTAGAGAGCAGTAGGTCTATTCCTTTATACCCCCACCCCCATCCCCACAGTCGGGACGTGGAACCAGCGCATGGAATTTCACGTGTCATTTTAATAGCATTAGCCTATTTTTATAATGTATTGGTGTCTATCGATGTTTGTGACTTAGAGGTCATGCGCACAGTTTCACAATGACATCATATCAACGTTCACATTCAGATGCGGGTAATGCGGAAGAAAGCACACTGTGCTGATTTTGAAAAGGGTATGAGCGTCGAACTTTTTGAAGGTTAATAGCAAACTAGTAAAGTCAATATTGCTTAATAAATCTACTAACAGCCATCAAATACTGCGGTAGGATTAGTTTCTAAATTTTGCTTTCTCCACGGAGGACGTTGGCTGCGATGAATCCACGGCTAAATGTTTGAATCTTACCAAGTAAGGTTCCAGTATCTGCCATTATACTATTTCTTCCTTTTTGCGTTTGGTTTCGTATGCTCAGATCAGACTATGAGGTGGGTAGCCTCTATGAACTCTCATGTCAGTAGCAGGTCCTTCCATTATACAATTTTCGTACACTTTCTGAAAGCCAAGAGAACAGTTTTATTCTAAACCGCCCACTGCAGGAATCGCGACTCATGGGCAACGTCGAAGACTGAGTTCTGAAGGTATGTTCTTAACATGTTGGCTACGGGGCAACGTCCTCAAAAAAGTGATGTGCTGCGGATTTAAAAAATATATTCCTTTTTTTTTTTTAATCAGACGATCTCCCAGAGTTTATGACCAGAACCTCAGCTGCGTCTTTCCTGAATAGTCGCAGATCCAGAAGACACAAGCGAAACGCCGGTATCATGGAGGAGTGTTGCATCAACAAGGCCTGCTCCTGGGAGGAGTTCGGAGAGTACTGTCAGAGACATCCCAGAAGTCGGAAGGAGCGGGATTCAGTCTGCGTGTACAATTAATTTGTGATGTACTCTTAGCAAGAATAAGATTGTAGACAGTCATATCACTTGTTGTGTCTTTCTTATGGTATTTTTGTTATTGTTTCTGTTGTTGTTGTCAGTGATTTTATTCTGTTGGTGATAATGTTGACTGTGGGAACCAGGGTGATGGATTCATTCATGACAAGTAATTTGTGATCAAGGTCCCTAAGAAGTAAATGAATAATGTGTAAGCGCCAATAGAACAAAAGAATGGAGAACGAACGAACGAACGAACTTACTTTTTTATCAAAAGGTAAAAAATTAGGCACGCAGGCAGGTTTTTCATTCGGCCCGTCCAAGCAACCATTTTCACACAGCAGTTGTTTTTTATCAGTAAAATTTATGATGCTCATATAACAATATGGATTTTATGAATATCAAGAAAAAAGAGAAAAAGCATGGGTAGTAAAATGCATGTATACAATCGCGAGCTCAGGCGCCTGCACACACACACAATGCACACGCGCACTCACTCACTTACTCACAAACATACATACAAACCCACATACATACACAAAGACCCGAAAACATAAATATATACACACACATGACGCACACATATACACACAAATATGCATACACACACAAGCACACAGAGACACACCCACAGACACACACGCAGATACAAACATACACACATAAACACAGTGGGCAATGACCAGATAATCTGATCAAAGGACTTTACTACGAGGAAAGGCAAGGCGTATGTATGTCAAACGCTACTGGTATTGTCGGCATCGGAGCAGTTTGCTGGCTGCTGAAGATGTGGACGTCCTAGTGATGTTTTCTCGATTCTAAACTCAGCCTAACGCAGCCACTGTCATGCTGTGGCTAAACGCTTACTTAACGGTGGTTGTAAAATCTTAGGTTTGAATCCTTGTCGATGAAGACTTCTTTATAATTTATGTTTGCTCCGCTATCTTCCTCTTCTTCTACCCAGCTTTCGCCGACTGTAAACTGACGGAAAGTGAATCGCTGTTCGTATACTTTTGGACTTCGCTTTTTATCCTGAATTTGACTTTTGTTTTATGTAAAGCACTTATAATATATGACAACCAGTAGCATGACCATGGAGGTGATGGCAGTGGCACAAGCGTTTGCCTGACTCGAAACACAAAAATACACCCGCGTATGTAAACTCAGTCATTCAATGAGTATGATACGGTGGGTTCAGGCCGGTTCGGTGCGAAGACAATGGCTTGAATCATTACAGAAGTCCGCTGTGCGTGGAGTCACCTTTATTTTTGTTCCGGGATACGCAGGCGTCGATGGAAATGAAAGAGCTGACAGGCTGGCTGGATCCAACATCCCTACCGACGGTCAGTTTATGGATCATGCTGATATTATCAATGCCCTCAGAGAAATGGAAAGGATAGAGGACTTTGGGGGCATTGAATCCACATCACTCGCCAGAATGGCAGATTGGGAATTAAGATCGGCATAGCAAAAAACGAGACGCACACCAGACACGCCAGAAGACTTGTTAATCAACATAGAACTGGTACTATTAGCCATCGGACGTTGGGGTTCATACTGAGGGGAGGATCAGAGGAACTATGAACATGTCCGGAGTTCAATGATGATAACCCAACTAACTAACTAACTTATAATATAGTAACATATAGAGGCAGAAAATCAGGCTCTTTTCAAATAACATCTGGTTTAAAGCAAGGTGATGCTTTGTCCCCGTTTCTTTTTAATTTGGTCCTAGATAAAATTTTGAGTAACTGACAGAAGATTTTATATTATGAAAAACTGTAAGAATACTTGGTTATGCAGATGACACTGATATTGTTGGAGAAAATGAGCTAGATACAGTAAAAACTTTGTTGACTCTCTTACAATAAGCAGATCACAAAATAAATAAGACTAGTAAAGACATATTATACCATACCATTGGCACCTTTCCGCCTTTCCAGAAGATAATGCTATATTGCGCTATGGGGAGGAATGAGACTCATAGCCCATAGCGATGGCGAGTATTACTAGCCATTCGAAGATGTTTCCCACCGTCAGAGGTGACCCGTAGCGAACCTGTCTACGCCAACTGACAAGGACTTATAACCCGTAACTGCTGCCTCTCGATTTGTTTCCGAGACCGATTAAGGCCAGGGATGAAGTTCCTCCTCTCCATAGCACAAAGCCTGGACAGTATTGTAGCGACCATATGTTGCCAATTTATAATTATCCCTCCATCGACCTGCCTTGTTTACTCCAAAGGAAAGGTAAAACCAGTACGTTTGGAACGAGGCAGGTTGCAGAAGCTGCCAGATCAGAAGAGCAGTGCTCTATCTGTCCGCCTGTCAGAGCTTCCCTCCTAGACCAGCTGCCAGCCAAGCATAAGAGCCTGGTCTATCCTGCCATAACACAAAGTTTTCAGGTTGCATTTGCTCTTCCTAGGATAAGGCTAGTATCCTCCCCAATGCGCTCCTCCGCCCGAAGCCGTTGGCACAATATGGGATGTTGGGTTAGTACTAGTCAAGACAGAATACATGATAATAACATGATAGGGAAAGCATATCAACCCCAGCCACATAAAAGTCGGTAATATCATCACTGATCACTAGCATCATGACTGTGAACTTAGTGAAATGGCTGGGGCATACAGAGAGAATGTAAACTGACAGAGAGGTAAAAATTGTATACAAAAGGGATCTGAATGGTCGTAGACTACTAGCAGACCAAGAAGACGATGGAGAGATAAAATCTAGAAATATCTATAAACACGTGGTGTCACCAGCAGGAATGTTGAGTGTTGAATTAAGAATCAACATCATAGCACTCGGGACACTCCCATGAGCGCTCCGTCCCCATCTTCAGCAGCAAACAAAGAGTTCCAATTCTGATGGTACCAGTAACTGTCTTATTGTACTTCCGTCAGACCTTTCTCTTGAGTGCATCCTCAGCCAGATTCCCTGTTAGCTCCCCTAAACGCCATTCTAATCAGATCTAATTATCTGTTTTTGTCTCCGCACTGTTCACTCGCTCTCAAAGGACCCTCACAACATCTAGCTTGTCATACATCAGTTCACCCCAAGTGGTGCAGAGCCAGCCAGACTATCTGCCGCTCGTTTCTCAATACACCAGCATTAACTGGAGATACTATCCAAAAGAGACTAACTAACCGAGACCTCTGAAGCGATGATGGCCACTCTGCGCTTAGCATGCCTGTCTCCATCTTTCCGAACATACGCTGTGAGTCAGTTACAATCACGACATGTGTGTACAGCCAGCGGAAGGCAGCAGTGACCACCTTCACCTCCATTCTCCAACAAGACGATGTGATATCATTTGCCAGGCTTTGCTGCTCTAAGTGACGTCCATTAGCTTTTACTATGAAACCCCATGCACTTCCTCTGCCTCTAAACACTAAGCCAAGTTTATAGATAATCATAATACCATGGCGGGAATTGTCATGAATCATTTGTTGAACATTTGATTCTGCAGCACCAGCTTGCCAGTCTCTGCACTCACGACTCAAAGTGACCAGAAATCTACACTAATCTGATTATTACTCGGACACTTTGACTCACTTCTCTCCTCGTCCAAATTTATCAAGCCTGCACACATTCTAAGCGTGTCTTCAACTTGTGCCATTTAAGACCTTCCTCTTTTCAGTCTGTGACCATTAACTTTATAACTCAGGCTTCATGCAGGAGGTAATTCTTGTCTACAGCGATCCTGAAGTGTGACTTTGCTTGCAGAAGTGTGAGCCTATGTACAATAGTAGGCAGTGCAAGTGTATATCGCATACATACTACCTAGGTATCTCTTGTACATCCCAGAATAACCAGCATGGCTTCATTCTGTATGCGTTCACTTACTTTTTTATATGGTGAGCATTCCAAATTCATAATCTATTATCAGCAGGATCACATGCTGGAACTTCGTGAACAGCATTATTTGTTCCATGTCCATTGCTGCCATAATCTTAAGAGCATTGAGTCTTTTTGGCATTATTCCGCGACTGCCTCCACATGATCCAAGAAGGACAGGCTTCTATCAAAAATGATACCAACTGGAAAAAAAAGGCCAATCAGAGAGACGAATATAGGCGGGTGACATCTTCAGCAATGAACCTCAAGAGCTCGGAATGCTGAAAAAGAAGAAGGAGTAGAAGATGAAAAAGAAGGAGGAGGAGAAGAAGAAGAAGAAGAAGAAGAAGAAGAAGAAGAAGAAGAAGAAGAAGAAGAAGAAGAAGAAGAAGAAGAAGAAGAAGAAGAAGAAGAAGAAGAAGAAGAAGTTGCCTTAGTTGCCTCCTAAGACATACTTGTTAGGGTCATTGGATCGGTTTCCATTACTCCATTACTCCAAACTGGAGTCCTCTAACCACCAATGTCGATTTAAAATAAAGTGAGATCAGAGCATGTCCTCGAAAAACACGCTGTTGTGGTGAAATTCTTTATACTTTCATCAGGCACAAAAGAAAATAAACTGAAATAAATGCTAGTGATTGTTCTGAGGATAGGAATGCCATGCTTACTACTGTCTGAACACTTTCTTAGTAGAACACAGGTTTCTAAAAGAGATTAGCTCTAAAAGACATGTTGACATATAAGGCGTAGGAAAAAATAAATAAAGATGTGACTTTTAAAACAACCAGTCACTCCCGAGGTTGGGTATTAATAGGGCAACAGACAAACATACACACAAGCCGTAGTTCCTCCACATTCATATACACGCATACACTCACCATAGTGTGAGTGTATGTTTCTGTTTGTGTTTAAATGTATGTTTGTTTGTCTGTCTATGTGCATTTAATTTGTTCTCTGTGAGTGTGGTGTGTGTGTGTGTATGCGTGTGTGTATGTTTCTATATGAATCTGGATGTTTTTGTGTGTGTCTGTGTGTGTTTGTGTGTATACGCGCAGGTTTCTCTGTGAGTTAATATTTTGTGAGTGTCTTTCTGTGTGTGTATGCGTGAGTCTTGAGTGAATTTGTGTGTTTCGTTGTTTGCCCTTTTGTGTATAAATATGAACGTTTTAAGCGAATCTATGTGTTTCTTTGTTTGCCTTTCTATGTCTGTATACTTGTATACTTTATGCATTGTATCTGTTTGTGTGTGCCTGCCTATTAAAGATTCATAAACCTGGAAGACGAGTTAGATACGTGGAACATTTTGATTTTATTGCTGCTGAACAGAAGAGAGTGTCATCGAACCTACACTGCAAAATGTGTCTTCCCTCATCTCCCGGGAACCAGCGGAGCGCTGCATTGACACGCATCACCGCCAATCTGTAGCATGCAGAGCAGCTCGCACATTGTCAACATGGGCGGGTAAGCAGGTGAGTCTGGATCAGTGCCTCCAGCTCTCTTCAGGAGGGGATTCTGTGGCCCTGGTGGTATGGCGGTTGTGGTTGTGGAGTTTTCGGATGGCGTATCTGGGTTGTTAATACATATTCATATTTTTGTTAATTTGCCTTTCTTTGTTTAAATTATGGTGAAGATGAGTAGATGTGATTTTTGTATGTGTAGAAGAAAAGGGGTGGGAGTGGGGGAGGGGGAAGGGGGTAAGTTGGTGTAGCGGCTACACGCTCGCCTGCCGATCGGAAGGTGGTAGGTTCAGGTCCTGACGATACTATACTTTTTTTTTCGTAAATGACCAAGGCTCCCAGGTGGACCAGCCTTGAGTGGGTACCAGGCGGAGTCCTGGAAAGTAAATGCCGCCGGCGTGATGCCTACCTCCTCACCCAACGAGTACAGATTGGTTTATAACATAAAGTTTAGCCCTATATGCCCAAAATGCCTAAATGCATGGTAAAGAGTCTTTTACTTAACTGTTTACTTTCCAAAGTTACTTAAAAATAACGTAAAGTAATTTTAATGTTAAAAAAATATATATATTCAAAATTCTATTAAATAAAAAACACGATAAAAGGGGTGGTTCCTCTGTTGCCTGGTGCTCTAAATGTTGTCGGCTTTGTTGCGTAGGCAACGGAAACTGCGACTCATGCCGCTTGAGTTCCCTCCCGTCTCCCATAATTTTCGAAGGAGACTGACTAAACGACCCTCTTTAACAATGTATAGAAGTCCTCTATTTAAGTAATTTCGTTATCTTACATGTATTTGCCTATAATTTCCACCTTCATCAAATTATTATTATTATTACTAATATTATTATTATTATTGTTATTATTATTATTATTATTATTATTATTATTATTATTATTATTATTATTATTATTATTATTATTATTATTATTATTATTATTATTATTATTATTATTATTATTATTATTATTATTATGATGCTTAAAGGAGGATTCGGTCACACTGAAACCCTCTCCGTCCTTTGCCTAAAAATGTGTGCGTCAAGGGACAGACTGAGCACACTCCAGTTGCTGAAGTTTTGTTTAAAACAAATGGTCAAGTTTAATTAGCATCCCTAAAATGAGAGCTTAAGGTTATAATTGTGACTAAGTTATGTGCAACGTATAAAATAGCTTAACAATGCACGCCACATAGAGCTTAAAGAGCCTAAGCCCTATTGAAATGTTTCATAATAATCTTCTCATTTTTCTTCCTCTTCTTCATCTGCGTTCATACAGAGACATAGAATGAATTCCAGAGAAATTTGACTATAAAGCTCAACAAAATGGGAAAGAGGAAAAACGTGCACAAAACAACACAACGTAACGTTTCGGCCATGCAGCCTTTTTCAAACACAAGTGGACTACACAAAAGAGGAATGGAGAGTATGTAGATCTCTAAGGGGTGACGTGAGCGACGTTTAAAAAATGTGATGCGGAATAAATGAAAAAAAAAAAAATAAACGTTGGCTAAAAAATATAGTCACAATACTGGGAATAAAAGAAATGCAAGTGTTAAGGATACATAAATGATATTGATAAGAAATAGAATATGGTAATAATATGAAATAAAATAAAATTATTAACATTTAAAATGTGATAATATTAGAACTATTTAGATGAAGGTTTGTTGGATATTGATACCTTTTGGACTAAGAACGCCAAGTCTTTTTATAAGGCGATTTTCCAAAGCGAGGCGGGTAGTATGATCGCCAGAGCAAGATTTTAATGCTGTGACAGATATGTCATCTTTACCGCTGTGGTTTTATTCCCAGTATTGTGACTATATTTTTTAGCCATCGTTTATTTTATTTTATTTCATTTATTCCGCATCACATTTTTTAAACGTCGCTCACGTCACCCCTTAGAGATCTACATACTCTCCATTCCTCGTTTGTGTAGTCCACTTGTGTTTGAAAAAGGCTGCCTGGCCAGAAACGTTACGTTGTGTTGTTTTGTGCACGTTTTCCTCTTTCCCATTTGGTTGAGCTTTTTAGTCAAATTTCTCTGGAATTCATTATATTAGCTTGACTGCAGTCACCCCCATAGAGACATAGAAGCGCAGTGACCGTTTACAATATGGCAGCAAAACTTGTTCGTTTCTGCCTACCCGTGCGACTTGTACAGACAGTTACTGCCCAGGGTAGCCATCCAGGGATAATAATGTTAGTAGCAATAATAGTAGTAGTAGTAGTAGTAGTAGTAGTAGTAGTAGTAGTAGTAATAAGTAGTAGTAGTAATAATAATAATAATAATAATAATAATAATAATAATAATAATATAATAATAATAATAATATCAGTATGCTGGTTAAAAAAAACAACTCCTGGCTTAACTCCTTTACAGTTTCGAAATAATTTGAGTAGGGGAGCCTCATATTTTTCGGGCAATTGGGAGGGGGAGGGGGGGGGGAGACGCAAGAGGGCCCAATTTTTCAGATTCCACATTCCGGTGACCATCTTCATTCAAAGCTGTGTTGAAAAAAAAATCGAATCATGTGTCGTAAAGTACAGTACAGTACAATTAAATATCCATCTTGCCTATATATGCATTTAAAATGGTTAAAATTAGGACAATTCTTCTTTTTCTTTTTCTTTTTCTTCTTTGTCTTCTTCTTCTTCTTCTTTTTCTTCTGCTGCTGCTGCTGCTGCTACATTCATTCGAAGACGTAAAAGCGTTGTGACTGTTTACAATATGGCTGCAATATTTGCGTCTTTCCAGTTAGTCTTTTCGAAGAGAATTCATAACCCTTTTAGGGTACCCCAATATGATAGTACAGTTGAACTGGTTTCATGGGACTTGTAGCTGTTTGATTCTCGTCCTTCAAATCTTAATACTACAAAATGCAAATCTTATAAGACAAACACATCTAGAAGAACAAAATCTTACAATCTCCTCCAATGCAGTGACACCCATATCTCAACAGCTGTGTTGCCTCATTAACCATCCCCTGGGGGATGCTACACACATGATCACACATAAATGACAGCGGAAATGCCGTTGTTAGGCTTAAAGTCAAGAGAACCAGGCACAAATGAGGTATCATTCTTGCTCGACGGTCCTTCCTTTAAAACTGAAATTATAAATGATGGATACTTTATTGACCGTATGAAACCACTAACAGCTAAAATATTAATAGTATATTTTCGCTGGTAGCTGGAAATGTTATAAAGTAATACCAACTTTCTAAAAGATCAGAGGCAGCCGCCTTCAAGGTGGACCCGGTCTGAAATAGGTACCAGGTAATATCATGTGAAGTAACGGCGGCCGTCCTTATGTTGAACTCATATCCCACCGAGTGCTGACTGGTCTTTAGAATTTAAGTCCATAGACCATATTTAGACCATATGCCCAATACGCCTGCTGGGTGGAAAAGGGTCCATTCAACTACTGACACTGTCATTAAAAAAAATTTAGAAATGAGTTATAAGTTATGCGTTAGATTATCTTCACAGCACTCCGGACACATCCATAGGCGCTCAGATTCCCTTCTCAACATATTCATCAGCGTCGTGCGGTTAATAGTACCAGTTCTATGTTGGTTAACATGGCTTCGTGTGCGTCCCTGTGCTTCTCATGCTTGGCTGTGCCAATCTTTCCTCCCAATTCACGTATTCTTAGAAGTGATGTAGACACGTTGCTTCCAAAATCCTCAGAACGTCCTATCTCTCTGAGGGCAATGACAATGTCTGCGTGATCCATGGGGCGGTCATCTTCAATTAATGCAGCACCTGCCACTCTATCAGCTATTTAGAAATATCTTCTTTTTCGCTGATTTCTTCTTTCCTTTAATTGTCAATGTACATTACGAAATGTGGAGCAGATAGCGTATAGCACACATACCGCATATCGTCATACTCCTGAATTCATTCCAAAAGGTTTTTGATTTTGAAGTATCTAATTTGGTTCGTACTTAAGTTTTATTTGATGTAAACAAACGTTTACAAAATTCTATCAGATATTTGCTAATTCCATATCCTTTAGGCAACCCCACATTAAATTCTTGTAATCTGTCAAACATGAGAAAGTTTCTGGTCAATAAATGCGACTTCGTAGCTGACACATGGTTCGTGCACCCCTTTCTATAATATAAATCAAACTACTATTGAGGGACACATTTTTGTTTTTGTTTTAAAGCCCAACTAAGGCTGTTGATGGAGGCTCTAATATAACCCAACCCATGGGTTGAATAGGGTTTCTGGAACCTACCCCGGGTGATCCTCATCCGAATGGTAGCACTTTGTATCATCAGATGTTTATCGCTCGGTGTGATGTCCTAGCGGGGTTGAACATCATCATCATGATATCATACATTGGTTATCCTTAACATTATCTGTTTCAATGTAGATATTGCCTCTCCGTTGCTTCTGTTTTGTCTAAATCTGAGACTGGCTTCCGAGAGTTGTTCTTACGCTAGTGGCCTTAATCTTGTTTAAGTAAATTTTGAGTACCTTTTCCCTCTAGTCTTAGTGTCGATATTATGTTAAAATTAGTACCATCTTACTTACTTCTTAAATTTGTTTACATCGGCATGATTGCTGCTGTTTCTTGGTCTAACCTTGAGATCCAGAGCCATTTTACTCTTATTTTACCAGTTGCTTGGATGGCTTCTGCAGGTAGCTCGCATCACTTTGTGTTTCGGTTTTAGTGCATTATTTATCACGTTTTTTACTTTTCACTGCACATGTGTTACCAGTTTTACAGACCAAATTTGTAAGATTTAGCATCCAGATCACAGTAAATTTTTGTTTTGTTTTTAAAGCCAGCATTGTGTTACCAGTGCCAGATGTAAACATTAACAAACAAAACAACAACAACAAATAAAAATGAAACAACATAAATAAATTGTCTCCAAATAAGCCTAAATATAATTAGGAGAGAAAAGATCAGAAGTGACATCAGGGAAGAAGCTGAAACGGAACCAGTACTAAACTATATGAATAAACAGTAAAGCAAATGGTTTGGACATGTGTCGAGAAAGATGAAGTAACCCGAATAACGGAAGAGAAGAATGAATAAATAAATCAAGAGCATCACTGCAGTAAGGACAATCCCACATGTGCCCCACCTCCTTCCTCAGCTATAAGAAAGAGTCAATATGCCTCAAGTATCAGTTGCAACCTGATTACAAGTTCGCCTATGTTTTTCCCTCAGTGTTGAATAACTTCCAGACCCTCTTCTCACCCCCTATCCTTTTTCTCGCTGAATTAATCTGTCAGTGTGTTCTGCTGCACTGTCCAGTTAATCTCAGAGATCCCACACCGCGTTAGCTTTGTCATAAAGTAGACAATCATCCAATGGAGCAGCAGCAGCCAAACTATCAGCCTGCTCATTACCTAGCATCTGAATATCATGCACAGAAAATCCACGATATCCTCCTGACTGAGTCTTGTCAAGCGATGCAAACCACTGTACGCTTAGGCGGGCAGTTTCTATTTTCCGAAGCATGATCTGTGAATCGTTACCATTGCCACATATTGGGCTGGGCTGCTATCAAGCTATCGAAAAGCTGCTGTCAACGCCCTCACCTCCACTCTCTCACTGAA